GGTATGCATGTATGTTTTTAAATGTTTGTCCAAGTACTTGTGCTTGTACACTTGAAATGAATGATGACGGCTCTGTGGTACTAAGAAAAAAAACTACTACCACTACTACTACTGCTACTGCTACTACTGCTGCTACTGCTGCTGTTACTGCTACTGCTACTACTGCTGCTACTGCTGCTGTTACTGCTGCTGCTACTGCCGCTGTTACTGCTGCTGTTACTGCTGCTGCTACTACTGCAGTTACCACTAATACTACTGTAGCTGCTGCTGCTACTACTGTTGCCACTACTACACTTTTTTTTAGTTGCCTATATATTAATCGTTGTCACTGTCTTGCATTTTTTATAAACTGTCTCAGCCTCATCATCATCATCATCGCCATCATCACCATCGTCATCATCACCACCATTATCATCTTCATCATCATCACCGACATCACCATTATCATCATCACCACCACCATCATCATCATCAGGAGCGCCGGGTGAGTACAGCCAGGATGGTTTCATCGACAGCATGGGAATGCCCCGACCACCACCAGGTTTTTATTATTATTATTATTTTTCTTCTTTTTATTCATTCAATCGTTTGTTCATCTTTTCATTCATTCATTAATTTATTTGTTCGTTCAATCGTTCGTTTGATCACTTATTCATTCATTCATTCATTCTTCATTCATTCATTCATTCATTCATTCTTCATTCATTCATTCATTCATTCTTCATTCAAGCATTTCATTTTTTTCATAATTTTCACCCATCCACTAATCTAGGAATGCCGCCATTGCATCCGAATCCGGCAGACGCCATGTTTACTTCCGGTATGACGTCACCGTACTATCCACCAATGCCACTGAGGCACAACCCACCACTGTTCTTCCCCACCCACTCCTACCACCCTTCAATGCTCATGGGGGCGCCATCTTCACTGACGCCATTTTGAATAAATTAGCATAAATTATGAACAAGTTTTGCATAAATTAAAACATGCATTAATTAAAACATTAATGTATCAATTAAAATTAAAATTTTTTTACAAACAAATTTAAAAGTTATATACATACATATATAGATTTTATACAGTATTGTATGAATTCTACCAAATTGTTGGCAGTAATCAATTTAAAGTTGGTCTTCTCACTTTTTCTCACTAGAATTTTTTGTAAATTGTCCAACTTGTTGAAAATAGAGTCACCCAAGTTCATCATGAAAATTTAATGAAACTGTGCAATTTTTAGGTGTAATGTGTTGGTGTTTTTTGATAAATTATATTTGTGTTGTTGTCAAGAATTTGGCGGGTTATTAGAGTTGCATGTGTTGATTGCAAGTGAGATTTGATGATGGCTCCTCTTTGTGTATGCTGCATTGTGAGACGTCTTGATAGTGAACACCAATATACGAATGCTGTTGGCATATCGTCACTAGGGCATTTAAATTCATTTATTTCGTGATTATGCTTCAAAGTAGAATCGTCTTTGGGAGTGCAGTTGTTCTTTAAGATCAATTGTGATGTCTTACAATTGTTGTAGTAAATTTTATTTTATTAGTATCATTGATTGGTGTAACATTTCTTTTTATGATTTGTTTGAGGACGACTTTGTCACTTTTATGCTTAAATTGATTAATGCCAACAATTCGGTAGAATTCATACAATACTATATATATACATATATACATATATCATATATATATATAAATAGAGAGAGAGAGAGAAATAGAGAGAGAGAGAGTGAGAGAGAGAGAGAGAGAGGAAGATTGGTCAACCAAATGATGATTTTGTCATTTAATTCTTTAATTATTATTATTATTATTATTATTATTGTTATTGTTATTATTATTATAGTTATTGTTGTTTCGTTATAATAACAATTATTATTATTTTTATATTTTTCATTATTTCTCAGAAGTGAATTCTATCTTAAACATCGTTCAAATATTAAACTTTTTTCTTTCTTGCATTCGTTATCCGCGCGTCAACGCTAATGAAATCGTTCCTTATATTATAAATGAAATAATAAAATAATATTAATAATTATTATTACTGTTGTTGTTTTTATTATTACCATTATTATTATTATTATTATTATTGTTATTATTATTATTATTATTGTTGTGATTTTGATACGAATTTCTAATCATATTAACCTTGCTATATGTGCGTTATTATTATTATTATTATTATTATTATTATTATTATTATTATTATTATTATTACGGGTTATCAGTGCGATGAGGCTACTATCATCGTCATCATCATCGTCGTCATCATCACAATCATCATCATCACCACATTTTCATCATCATCACAATCGCAATCATCATCAGTACCATTACTTACATGACATTTGTCAAACTCTACTAGCTCAAACTTTGTACATATATATATATGCTCAAAAGAATAAAATAACAACAATAACAATAATAATAATAATTAAAATTATTATTATTATAGCATTTTTATAATATATATATAATGTGAATAATAGAATGAGGCAATAATAATAATAATTGCTAGTTTTTATATATATATATATATATATATATATATATATATATATATATATATATATATATTATTGTTATTACTATCATTACTATTGTTGTACTAATTTTTTAGTTATGTTTTGTTGTGCCTAATATATATATCTATATACATGTATATATATATATATGTATATATATATATATATATATATATATATATATATATATATATATTTGTTGTTTTCAATACATTTTTGTCTATTAATAAATAAATTTAAAAAATATATATATATATAAATATGTCATCCGTATTAATCACTCTTAAAAATAATAATTATTCGTTTTTATTCTTTTATTATTATTAATTAATTAATTAATTATATTTATTTGATGGTTTATTATTATTATCATTATTATTATTATTATTATTATTTTTTATTTTTATTATTATATCTACTCGATCCTCGATACTCGTTGTTGAGGGAAGCTTTCGCCGTTTGCATTTCAATAACTTATTACGAATAAACTCTCAATTAAAGTGTGTGTTTTTTATTTGACACACACGCACACACACACACACACACACACATACACACTCACTAACACACACACACAGACACGCACACACACAGACAAACACAAACACACAGTATTGCAGGCAAATGATAAGCTAAAAAAACTAAACCAGCGATAAGGAATATGAGTAACGAAAGCTTTATAGCACCAACATGATGAACACACACACAAAGAGGAATAGAGAGAGAGAGAGAGAGAGAGAAAGAGAGAAAGATACACGCACACATACAGATACACACACACATACAGACACACACACATACAGACACACACACATACAGACACACACACATATACATACAGATACACAGACACACACACATGCACGCATTTCGGTGACATATAACCTGGCTAAGACAATTGATAATTTGATATTTCTTTGGCGTGTATCGCTAACATATATCCATTCTTTTGTCATTGTTGTTGTTGTTGCAGTTGACGATGTTGTTGACGTTGTTGATATTGTTGTTGACGATGTTGTTGTTGACGTTGTTGATATTGTTGTTGATGTTGTTGTTGATGTTGTTGTTGTTGTTGTTGATGTAGTTGTTGATGTTATTTTTGTTATTGTCATGGTTTTGTTATGGTTTTGTTGATGATGCTGTTGCTGTTGATGTTGTTGTTGTTGATGTTATTGAAGTTGTTATTGAAAACTACAACATAAACTACCAATTCTTTATGATGAAGACAACGACAAACACACACATTCAGACAGACATTCACACACACACTCACACACACACACGTAAATACACACAATACATACATCCATCCATGCATACATCCGTACATACATCCATACATACAAACATACATACTAACATACATACAAATCTAATAAATCCCAATCCAATGGTTACACGGTCTCAGCAAGGGCAGCCAATCAGCGTGAACAACGGTCTAATTACATATTCATTAGTCACTCGAGCGTTACCATTCAATGCATAAATCAATAAATTATGCTAATGAGGTGTGACGATTAAAAGTATAAATTAATAAATTATGCAAATATGTTGTGGACTGCAGTGTGAAAGCTATGGTATTCAAGTGTGGAGTTGTTTAAGTGAGTGCAAAAATGGTCTGTTTGTATGAACGAACGAACGAATGAACGAATGAATGAATGAATAGTTTATAGAATGAATGAGTGATTGAATGACTGGAATGTATGAGTAAAGATGAGATTCATGGTTGATTAATTAACACTTGGTTAACATCGTTTTAAAATGCACATCTGCAGCTACGAATTTAATACATTCCTCTTAGAAACAAATTAGTATATTATTGTTAAGAATCGAACTATAGTAATACATATTGATATCAATTCGATCGATTCAAGATACTATATATCAAAAAAATCTGGATATTCATTGTCAAATTTTACATTTTCATGCTCATGAGATTGAATACTACCTGAATTTAATAAGATACTACCAGCCTATACCAGTTCATATTATATATAGTATTGTATGAATTCTACCGAAATGTTGGCATTAATCAATTTAAAGTTTGTATTTTCATTTTTCTTTACTACAATTTTACTTTTTTTTTAGTTCATATTAATAAATATTCGCGTCTTAAAACTTAAATGATTAGTATTTCTGTTCAAAACCTTAGTTCAACTGACTTAAATATAATGGTCGCATTTTTTAGAATTTAAACCGAAATTCACTTTTAAACGCAATGACGTTTGTTTACAAATGTAAAAACCGGTTTTTATTTTATTTTAATTTATTTTTTAGATAACCAAATTAAACATTTTAATTAAAAATAATTACAGATTAATGGTTAGTTTTTTTAGTTACTGAAATTTTTTTTCGCTTTGGCTTATAAATAATAATATATATATATAAAATGTTTGACTTTAATAATCATTTTCAATTATCTTAACAATCATAATGATAATATAATATTATCATTAAAATCCGGACACATTCTAGAAAAATGTCTACCCCCAACCACCAAGACGATTCAAGAAAGGTTCCAAAAGGCATTTTGAAGAAAAGAAAACAGGCCAGTGTCAGAGTTAAATCAGATTCAGACATCATCCTAAACGAAAGTAACAAAACTGACGGCCATGATGAAGAAGAAATTAGGGATATTAGTGGAGGTCTAACTAATAAACGCGCTGATGATGACGTTGTTGTTGATGATGATGATGTGGCTGAGTCCAAAGCCAGATGTGCCAAAAAAATTTATGAAGATAGTGCAGAAGTGTTTTATTTTCTATGGTTTGTGTGTTATTCAGTGTTTTTGGTAGTGATTAAGAATAAATATAATTATATTTTATTATATTTATTATTAATTTGAAGTTTATTATGAATGTATGAATGTGTATGAATGAATGAATGAATGAATGGATTAATGAATAGATGAATGGATTAATGAATCTGTGAATGGAAAAATGAATGAGCGAATGAATTAATAATTGGCAAACCCTAATTTTTAAAATCCATAATTTCCCATTCATAATTCACTTAATTCAAAATTAGCATTTACTAATTCACCAATTCATAATCAGGAAACTCCTAATTGCGATGATGGTTGTCCTAATTTGCCTGCTCAGTTTTGTAGTCTATCTATATTTCAAATCTCTGCCAGCTGACTACATGCCAAGCCCATATAGGTATTATTATGTATAATAATTGTTAATAATTATTATAATTATAATGTTATCCATCTACATTTCATATAATATTGAATGATATTTATTACAAATAACTATTAAAGATAAATACTTCTACTACTACTGCTACTACCACTACTACTACTGCTGATGCTGCTGCTGTAACTACTACTACTGCTGATAAATAATAATAATAATTACTCTGAATAAACAAATAAATTAAAAATGAAATAATTTTGTTGTGTTGGTAAACTTTCAGTTTGCCGCCACCTCCCAGATTGGAGGGTGAGTTAGAGGTGAACTACAAACTCGAGCGAGCGACGAAGTTTCTCGAGGGTTTAATCGTCGGCCCGGAGTTTATCATCATTAAAGATGGTTATTATTGTTATTGTTATTATTATTGTTGTTATTATTGTTGTTATTAATGTTGTTATTAATGTTTTCAATGTTAGTAATGTTGTTGCTAATGTTTCACAGCTGTTCTTATAGCTTCAAATTATTTTGGTTCATAGAGGGTTTTACAAAAACGCTCACACACCCACACACCCACACACACACACACACACACACACACACCCACACATATAACACATATAATATATATACTCACACATATAACATATATACTCACACACACACATATGCAAACACCCACACATATATACTCACACACATACACAAACACACACGTACACACATATACAAGCACACACTCACACAAACACACAGATCACTTATACACTGGCACGGCTAATGGTAGCGTAGTTGAAATTAATGACCGCGGTGGCATAAGAGTTATCACCAATCTCGGCAAACCGCCTTGTGGTATGGTAATGTTCATAATTATCATAATTTTTAATAATTATACTTATTATAGCTATTATTATTATTATTATTATTATTGCAGTTATTATTGTCATATTATATTATTATTATTATTAGTATATTATGAAAGATTGTAAATAAATATGATTATTTTTTCATCTCAAGGTTCTTATATGAATGAGCCGAATTGTGGTAGGCCGTTAGGTAACTGCGAATGAATGGCTTAAATTAAGTTTAATACGGTGTTAGGGTAATTAATACGCCAATATATTAACATTAAATAATGTTAATTAGGAAAATTAACATAAATTATGTGAATTAATTAAATTAACATAATGTATGTTAATTAGGAATGGAATTTGACGCCGACGGATTCCTCATTGTTTGTGATGCCTACCTCGGCATCTTCAAAGTTGACATCGTTACAGGTCGTGATGATGATGATGACGATTATGGTGATGATAATGATGACGATGATGATGACGATGATGACGATGATGGTGAGATAGGAATGAGGAAGGATGAGGTAGTGTGTGTGTATTGTAAGAGAGAAAGAGAGAGAGAAAGAGAGAGAGAGAGAGAGAGAGAGAGAGAGAGAGAGAGAGAGAGAACGTTTAAGATAAAATGGTGATGGTGATGACGATTAAGTAGCATGATGATGATGATGATAATGATGACACATTTACAGGTCACAGCCAGCTAATAGTCTCTCCAGAACCAGCACTTCAATCATCATTATCACCATCGTCATCATCATCGTCCGTCAGACGTACTAACTTCATTAACGATTTGGAGCTGGATGATGACGGAAATGTTTACTACACTGATTCGTCTGTGTTTGAGAGGCGGGATTTTGTGCTGGACGTCTTGTATGGGCATTCTACTGGACGGTTGGTTGGTTGGCAGGTTGGTTGGTTGGTTGGTTGGTTGGCTGGTTGGTTGGTTGGCTGGTTGGTTGGTTGGTTGGTTGGTTGATTGATTGATTGATTGATTGATTCAATTGACAGGCTGATTGGCTGATTGATTGATAGATAAAGTTGATAATTTAATTTATTGGTTTGTTGAATGATTCATTAGTCTCTTTAATAGGTGACTTGTTTGTAGGTTAATCTGCTCATCGGATGATAAATCAACTAACCAATCAGATTACTCCGTTACAATGCCATGACCAATAGGGTTGAGGTACTGAAGGGCAATTTGGATTTCCCTAATGGGATTCTACTCTCAAAATATGGCGATTACATCCTAATCTCTGAAACGTCCAGGGCTAGAATTTTAAAGTTCGTAGTTAATTAATTAATTAATTAGTTAATTAATTAGTCAATTAATTGATTGATTGATTAATGATCAATTATTTATTTATTTTAATCAATAATCTATTTATTTATTTATGACTGCTAAAAAAAATGAAAAACGTTTAGACTACTACTACTACTACAACTGCTACTACAACTGCTACTACTGCTACTACTACTACTACTACTACTACTACTACTACTACTACTACTACTACTACTACTACTACTACTACTGCTGCTGCAGCGGAGGTTTGGAATAAACTGCCCGATGATGTCGTTGATAGTATGGATGAAAGAGACATGTTCCGAAAACGACTTAAACATCACTTTTTTGACCGGCAGCTTCTCGTTCTCGAACAGCGCCTCTGAGTTTTACATAGAGGGGCGCTATATAAATTCTCCATACCATACCATACTACTACTACTACTGCTGCTGCTAATACTACTACTAATACTTCTAGCTAGCCGACTACTGCTACTACTACAGCAGTTAAAACTGTCACTTCTACTACAACAACCACAACTACTACTACTACTACTGACGACGACAGATACTACTTGAAAGGAATTCACTTGCGACAGACGTACACATTCGTCGACAACTTACCATGCCTGCCTGACAACCTGCAGCGAACGGACAGGGGCACCATCCTTGTGGCCTGTGGCAACCTCAGGTACGACCAGAAGCGCTTCAACTTCGTCGATTTCTTGCAAGAGAAGATCTGGCTGAGAGCTCTCCTCATGAAAGTTAGTTGAGGATTTTGAATGAGAGAGAGAGAGAGAGAGAGAGAGAGAGAGAGAGAGAGAGAGAGAGAGAGAGAGAGAGAGAGAGAGAGGAAAGAAAAAAAATATCTTTCTCTTTCTCTCTTTTTCTCATTCTTTTACACACACACACATACACACACAAACACACACACAAATTTATGCACAAACCCCAACAGCTGCCAATCAAACCGATCCTGGGTCTGATCCCTCACGGATCAATGTTGATGGAGTTTAGCGAAAGTGGTAAAGTCCTGAAGACCATGATGGACTTGCAGGGCGCGACCATCAGCCACCCCTCCCACGCCGTTGAGGGCAGATTAGGGGAACTAGGGCGGAAGATTTTTATTGGGTCTTACGTTAATAACTATATTGGCGTGATCGATTTGTAAGGAAGTG